TCCTTCCTTCCTTCCTTCCTTCCTTCCTTCCTGACAAAATTAGCAGTTGTATTTTATTTAACTTTTAACAACTGGAAACAAAGAAAAGGAAAAAAGGGGGTGTTTTCTTTGCAGGACCAGATGTATTTTTCTTGTCAGATCTGCTACCTTCCACACRTTTTTGTGTAGAATTCTGGAACAATCTTTTTTGAAGTTAGTGTAAAACTTTTAACCAGTAAATATCAGTGAGCAACAGCACAACCAAGCAAAAAGAGGAACAGCTTTTCATGTGCTGCATCATGATTCTGTTATTGTTTGATTGTCTCCAGGATCCCACGTTCCACACAGCAATTTGTCAGTTTTATTATCGAGACATTACACTTCAGTTTAACAAACAGTCTTTCTTYATAGCTGCAGTTGAATAAGACTTCCACGATGAAGTCACCTTTTTTCTGTCTATTAAACTACAAAAACAAAGTCTTTTGAAGTTTGTGAGCTCAGAAAAAAACAAAAAACATAAAATAAATGTTATTCTCTCACTTGGCTGCTGATACAGAAAACCAGACGTATAGAGTAGATGGTGTCCAGTGTGTAAACAATAAAATTGAAAATTGTCATGAATGTGATCAGCACCAGTTTATCCCAGGAACAGATCTTACCGCAGGTAGACGGCCTCTCATTGTTACGGAAACTGTACAGCGGCCAAATAACCATGACAGTCAAATACATCACTGCTGCCAGAACGTTGTAGATGATTGCTATAATGTCAAAGGAGACTGGGATGTAGGAGGTCAGATTTCCAAGGCTGAGCAGGATTATGATGATGGCAAAGATGAAACACAAGGMGTACACAGCGACGCACCACTGCAGCTCTGGGTGGCCTGAGTACTGTCCTGTTTCCAGGGAWATGAAGATGAGACAGGCGACGAAGCTCTCCAGCAACTTCATGATGCCGGGCAACGTGGAGAGGAAACCTGGATTTTGTCCACTTGGACGAAGGTATGTCAGGACCACCTCAYTCACATACCCTGCAATGCACAGCCAGGACACGACAGAAGCTCCTGCCTGCCGGTGGCAGGTAGCACAGGTGAAAAAGATGGGGTAGATGATGGAGGCCGACAGGCACATCAGGCCTGCCAACATGGCGAAGGCAGCTGTGAAGTCGTTCCAGTCGAAAGGTAGTTTGGCGTTGACTGTGGTGAACTCCAGAATGACAATGAGAAGAGTGAAGAAGCAGCAGAAGCACCAGGTGAACATGCACCACACCCAGTATGGAGAACCATCAGGCTTCGCCGAGGCCACCAGGCTGAAACACATGCAGGTGACGATGACCGTCAAGATCCGGATGATCCCCACCGGCTGGGTGATGGATTTCACATCTATGAAGACCATGACTGGACCGGATGAGTCTGTTTGAAAAAAAAAAGTTGTTTTTCTTTCTGTCAGTTCACCGTACCCTTCTGAACGATGCAACCTTGATGTTTCAGCCAGATCCTGTGGGAGAAATCCATGAAGACAAAAGTCCCGACAGACAGCCGTGTTCTGTAGAACAGAAACTCAGGCGTGGTGTATACTCTAGCCAAGCATCGAGGGGCTTATCTGTCCTGTTTATGGCTCCTTTTCAGCACTCTTATTGGGTGGTAGCTAGGCGTTGTCAAACTCACCTCACAGCATTCATGGACTCTGATCTTTGTGGCAAACCTTGTTCCTGTTTCAGAGATCAGGAGGAGGCCAAACTCTTGAATTTATTATTTTTATACTGACTATGTTTCGGGTAAACTCAAGGAGGAGAGGTCATTTCAACAAAATTATCATATCTCTATGTTATTAAGCTTTTGTTCCTTTTATCAAAACAAAGTCCCTAAAAAAGTAGATGAGAAACCACTTTACGATGGTGAAATATTTCTTTTAAGATGGTAGGTTTGAATGCTCCAAATCCCTTCCTGAGGCAGGTTCATAGGACTATGGGTGTTGTCGAAAAGGCAGAGAAATAATAGAAACRACTGTGGAATTTCCAATAATGAAGGATTTGATGTTGAATAAAGGTGTTTGGGATCACAAATATTCAGCGACTGAAGAGTGTCGATCTTACAGACAACGTGCTGTAGCAGCGACTCTTCATATGATCAAAATAAAAAAAAGCCTTGAGTTCTTTAACAACAATGTCTATAAAATRATGTGTTGGTGCGCAGTCTGTGAAAGAAACTGATAAACATCATGCAGGAAAATAAACACAGTTAGGCTGAGCAAGTGTTTTGTTTTTCATTTCTACACTGTTTTTACTTACATATCTGACATGTGTGCCCCAAATATAAATGAAGTGCCAAAAGATGGTTTAAAGTGTACACAGAGTAAGAATGTACTCCTCAACATAGCATTGACTAAAAGAAGGTATGTATGTTTGTAGAATAAATCTACTGTTCACAATAAGTTAAACCTCCCTACAGCTGCTACTCTGCTACACAACCAGAGAAAACACCGCACACTCCCTCTGACTTATCTAAACAAGTCTAAACTACAGGAATAATTTAACAAACCATGGCTTTAATATAATAACATGAAAACCTGCCACTGTCTAGTGTTGTTACATTAATGTGAACACAACAACCAAACCTTAACATTATTTTGACTTTCACTTATGACACAGCAATCAAGATACTGCAGAAAATGAGTTCATAATTTATGTAGTTTTTCAGTCAGTCACGCTGCATATTAATAACAATTTAATTAAAATACTAGAAGTAATGACAGATTTATAGAGGAGCACCAATTGCTGCTGTAATATTCCAGTTATTTGGAAAACTCCGACCTGCCAAATCCAGTGTTGGCCAGTTGAAGTAACAGAATTCATATCTGTGAGATCAAGTCTTCTGTACAAAATCTTAGCTGTTCCTGGGTCTGCGTTCTTCTGTTTGTGTCAGTTCTTTTGCTCAGAGAGAATGACCCAGTTTAATGACTTACAGATAACTAAAAAAAGCTTTTTATTAAAGAATTGGAGGACTTACTCACAAAAGAGCCTCAGCAGAGAAAACTTGAGGAGGAATAAAACTGAACTGATATTCCAGTTCCAGGAGCATCAAAACAAAAACAGACTCAAAAACAGCCTCTTCCCAAAAGCAATAAACATCCTGAATGCTCACATGTGCTAACTCCATACAGAAATACTTACTTTATTGTACATTTGCAAATATCACCAGTTTTATGTTTATATTGTTTCTATTTTCTGCACTTGTTTGCACAGATGGAGCTCACTTTCATCTCACTGTACAGTGACAGTAACTTCATTCATTCATTCATTCATTCATTCATTCATTCATTCATTCATTCATTCATTCATTCATTCATTCATTCATTCATTCAGTTACTTACATCTACTGTTTTCTTCTATAATACAAAAACAAGTATGTATGTATGTATGTATGTATGTATGTATGTATGTATGTATGTATGTATGTATGTATGAATCAAACATTGATCAATGCAATGCCATTCATACTTAAAAAAAGAAGTTGCAGTTAAACAAAAGAGTGAGAATACGTTTTTATTTGTTTATGACTTAAAAGATCAGAGTTGGAACTGAAAACCTCAGAAGAACAATGTAACTTGATGTTCCTGGTTACAGTAAACAGAATACCATAGACTTGAATATACCTTTTCTCTGGCTCCCCCTTGAGGTTCATTACAAAAAAGCTCTAAAAAAGGCTGAAAGGAAATCACAGGATAAAAAATAAACATTTAGAAAATAATACATAGCATTATGATTTTAGCTAAACATTGTGTATGAGAACAACATAAAACATTTTGGATGATTTTACTGAACAATTTTTTTTATTACATTACAACAATATATATATATATATATATTATTGTCATGGAGATAAAAACAGAAATTTTCAACAGTATAAAACAATATATCTTTCACGCAGAACAAAGTTTACAGCTGTGATTGTGTGTACACATCTAGATATGTTTTGGAAGGAGGGACCATGGGTGTGTGTGTGTGTGTGGTGGGGGGGGGGGGGGCCTCACACCCTTTTATTCCAGCGTTCATTACACATTAGTAAACATGGGAGTGATATTATAAACTGAGTAAGCAGCAGCTGTATGAATCAGTGTATGCACAAGTTGCCACACCTTTGCAAGCATATTGTGCGTGCATGTCATGTTACCTTTAGCATCTAACATTAATTTAATTTAAGCTTTTTTTTAGACACCATAGTTTGTCTCTGAGAAGTGAAAGCAAACATGCAGCTGAGTATGCGCACGAACCTCATTTTGACAGCATTTTATTTATATTTCAGATGACAGGGTCAGCAAACWTCTATATAAAAACCTTGATGCGACCTATTTATCAATATTAGCAAAGTAGATGAAACAGATGACAGCAGAGATGCACTGATTAAAGATTTCTTGGGAAGCACTGACCTTCAAATTTTGACTCATGTTGTTTTATTGTCTATTAAATCTATCATCAGAAGCATCAGAAATAACTTTATTCTGATTTCTGACTGAACCAAAATTTTGACTGTGCCTATAATTCCACTTTTGGAACAAAAGGACTTTTGCMTTTTCTTGACATGATCACTTGAAATAAAAACAAAACAATTATTGGACAAAGGGATTTTAGAAAATAAAGACAAACTAAAAATGTAGTCTATTGCTGCTGTACTGTTGTCCTTTTTTCAAGTAGTTATCAARCAATGTGCTATTGTTAGCACATATTGGGCACACAGCTGTGGTGCATTTAGGAACTGAAGGAAAAAATATAAATATATAAGAGCTTTTTTTAATCACTCATTATTCAAGCTGTAATATTGGCTGGTTCTGCTCCCCTGAGCACTAGGTGCATCTCTGGATGGAAGTCATCAAAGAAAAGGAAAAGAAAATGTGCTTTAGTTGCCAAAATTAAGTTATAATTTGCTGTTTCATAATCACAAAAAAACGAAAAAAGCATTAATTACAGAAGCATCAATTGGGACATGTTTATGTTTCTGCAGTGATAAAAACCAACTTAAACGAGTAAACTGTGTCCACAATGTAAGAAACCAGGTTAAAGCAAGTCATGAAAGAAATAACAACCAACCAGTTCCACCAACAGTAAACGCCTGAACATGGTGGCCTGCTTATGTCTTTGAAGCTGTACACAGGCCAGATGATCACAGCTGTGATGTACATCAGCACTGCCACCACATTGCAGACAGTCAGGACTTTTTGAAAATGTACGGGGAAGATAGTTAGCAGCCGGCCGATGGTGAAAATAATGACAAGGAAAGAAAAAATAAAGCAAATTGAATAGACAGCAACACACCACTGCAGCCCTGGGTACACTTTCACCMAGGGGTTGATGTAGCGCAGACAGGTGAAGATGATGCAGGCTACAAAGGTCTCAAGGACTTTGAGCAGACCTGGAACCGTAGAGAGAAATCCACTGATCTCACCAGATTTTGCTCGAGTCATTCCAACCTCGATGGAATAAAGGMTGAAGGTCAGATAGGAGAAAACACTGGCAGCAATCTGTCTGTCGCAGATCGAACAAACGAAGAAGATGGAGTAGAGGAGGGACGCCACAAGCACCTGCACGAAAATCAAAACCCTAAAATGACTGAGAACCTGTTTTATCAGGTCATTTACAGTTTAATAACTAAGTTATAGTAGTGACAAATACAACAAAAAGAATGATGCACATTAATCCCACTGAAGCAACATATCAGATCCTTTGTAGTGTGTCTTTGGAACAGTTAAAATTTTACCTTAGTTTGGATAAATAGTTTAGTTTTGATAAAACGCACTAGCTGACAGTTGATCCAAATGGGACAAAGACCAAAAACAATTACTGAAATTACACAGAAAACTGTATACATTAAGAAAAACAAATTTGTTTGATATGTGGTTTTATCATCACATCACAGCCCCCTAAAACTTAAAATTGTGAGGTGTCTAAAGAACCGCACCCTTATTGCATCTATAATCTTAACCATTTAGTCATTATCTGTTATAATGGCCATRGGCGGGGTTAGAGCAAAGGTCAACCAGTAAATTGAAAGCTTTGCCTGTTAGCTCAGCTTTCTTCATTGTGACTGATCAGTACATTGTCTGTAGTGATGCAGATGTTTGCATTAACCATTATTTTACATTAGAGTTGCTTCATGCCAGCAACAGTCCATGTTAGTTTGGTCCCACTTTAACAAACTATGAGCTCATCAATTATTCTTCTCCAAACGGAAGTCAATAAAGGACCTATCTATTGGTAAAACATTAACTTTGCAATCGTTCTAGTCACCCACATTTCTCCTTTCACTAAACCAGGTTTCAAAAGATCTGCTCACTTTACTATAAGTGAATATTCATAGAAAAAAAGAATACTTACACTAATATATTGGTTTTGACTACTGAGTTAATCATTTCTTCAACCAATTGAATCCTAACACTGTTAACTCTATTTCATAGGTAATTTAATCCAGGTTACTTGTTTTCCTAATGCTCTCTTCTTCAGGGATCACCACACAGAACAAACTTATATTTGTTTAACACCTGATGCTCTCTCTGAATCAACCTGGGCTCAAACCTGCAGCTTCAAGACTAAAGAGAACACTTATTATTAAGCTACTGCAGCCCCCATTAAACTACAAAAGCCTTTTGTAAATGAACCTAAAACCTCACGTATTGATGAATAAGGAGGAGTAAAATTTACGTACCATCAAGGAAGCCAACATAGAAAAGGCGGAGGTGAAGTCGACCCAGGAGAGGGGCAGCTTTGGGGCGAGGCYGGTGAATTCCAGGATGAGGATGAGGATGGTGACGCAGAAGCAGAAGCACCAGGAGAACATGCACCACGTCCAAAAGGAGTCCGTGGTGTAGCCCACCGATGCCACCAAGCTGAAAGTGACGCATGTGAAGAGGACCTCCAGAATCCTCACAATGCCCACCGGCTCTGTCAGCACCTTAACGTCTAGGGAAGCCATCCCGATTCAGATCCTGTGGTCAAGTTTAGATTGTCTGATTGTGACAGATGCTGCAACTCAGCTGTACGTTACCCTCTATCTGGTCCCTCCCTTATTACMACACCTTTGCACTATCTTTCTTAAATAACCTGTGAGCAAAACATCAGTGCGCAGACGCAGAGTGATTTAAAGGGTTGTTRTCGTTAGTGAAGAGGAAGCTGTTGTTTGTGTCCATTTGCTTGCGGAACATGCGAGTGATGAGAACAATAGAAATGTTAAAATCAACAATAAAACTGTAAAACAATTTAGAAAAAAATATATCATTTATCAAAACAAAACTAAATTGGATGTTAAACTATAGAAAAATTGTTTGGTTTAGAATTTGGAGAGAGAGGTTATTTTAGATCTGACCTGAYTGCCAAGTTTTAGTTATTTATTGATAAATTTATTACTGCAGGTGAGGAAATGATTTTATCAAGTTTCTCATCAGCTTAAAAATGTTTAACCAGAGCGTATATTTCTTTCTTATCGTCACACCCAGGAAAGGAATGCCTTGTTGAGGTACAGCYGGACAGATGAGGCCTTACCCTGGGGTGTACCTGTTCAGTGCACTGCAGAGCGGTTTGCGGACCCTGGTCTCAAACCGAGGGTCATCTGAGGTCGACGGCTGTCTGAAGCTCACACCAAGGGTGGAAAATACTGAAGCAGGTCAGAATTCTGCTGATGGGKAAGAGTTGTCTTTCACAACGCTTTACTCTGGCTTGCTTTATAACAAAAAGGTTTTCTTCTTAAATTAACGGTTTCTGTTACTTGGTAATAGTTTTCTTCCCCAGATATGGTCAAAGATGAAAAACACATCAGGACAGAGGACAAGACGAGACGAAACTGGGCTGAAAACGTCTCCATACTCCTTCATGCTACCCTTGTCTGWTGCAGTCGTTCAGTGCATTAATTTGCTTTTACAGCTTCAACAGGAACTGAGCCCTATGACACACAGGATTCAGTCATCWAAACTCATCTCAGAGCTCAGAACATAAAAACTGTTTGCTAACTTTACAACTTTCAAACCTAGTTGAAATTTGTAGATGATTCACAAAGGATAAATAGAAAATGCACATTAACACAACSAAGGAGAAATATGAAACAATCTGACACATGCTATTTTTCATAAAATAAACAAATAAACAAATTAAAAATTGTGCAAAGGTTTGAAAAAACAAAGGCAATGTCCCATCTTTATAACAAATTGATTGGGCTGTAATGCTGTTACTCATGGCTAAATTACACAATGACAAATAGGTGTTCTCAAACATGCAGTAGTATGAAGAACAACAAAATCCATATTTAGAGGTGAAGGCTTAAATATGCCACTGTCTCCAAAAGTTAACAGTTTTTTTTTGTCTGTCTAAAAAAGAGGATACATCGTTACCAATGTGGGATGGTTCCACCACTGTTTTGATTTCAAACAAACAAACAAACAAACAAACAAACAAACAAACAAACAAACAAACAAACAAACAAACAAACAAACAAACAAAGGGCTTCAGCAGTGGTGTGTGGCACTAATCTTAAAATTAGTTCCACTAGCCCTAAAACACTAACTCAAATATTTAGGTCCTCTAATTCTAAAGCACTAAAGCACAGAAAGTTTTAGCAAAAGCTAATTTTTTCAGTCACATTCTTCAACAGACAACATGAGTCACTGTTGCCATGCTGCTCTAATCATTGATATTCCACAGCCTTATTTGAGTTCATATATAGTCAATATATTGTCAACTAGTGAATAAGCGACACACATATGAACAAAATGATGAGCGACAGTTTTCACCCTCAGTTGTTAACATTAATGTTGATCAATAACATTTATAGACCTCAGTTAGTGCTTCTAAATTTAGCCTATAAATTTAGCAAGTGCTAATCCACTAATAAATTTTAAAATGAGCAAAAGCTCCAAAGCACTAATCAGAAAATTACTTCTACTATTAGTGCTTTAGGGCAACTGTGCCCACCACTGGTAAAAGGTTTGTGTCACCAAACTGCAATGTCAAATCAACTTGATGTCTTGGAAATCCATGAAACCAGATGGCGGCGGTGGCGGCAGATGTATGTAGCTGTGCAGTATCGCTGCAGGAAAATACATCTCATTTGGCTTTACAGGCA